TCCACAAGAGCACCGAATCCGCCTGCCTCCTCCTCCCCCCCGTGCTGCTACCTCTGATAGAGAGGCAACAGTGCAGAGGATGAGGGAGGTAGGCTGGAGCCAACATGTGCAGGGAGCCAGCTTTCGAGCCCACTACCTGCACGTATTGGCTCCATGGACCTGTCTGTCCCCTCCCACTTGCTGCCTCCTGGGCACCAGAAACCCTGGACTAGACTCTCCTGCTCTAACTTTGCATTCCCTGTTTTCCCTTTTTTCTTTACATTCCTTACCTCTTCCCCTCACCCACTTTCCTGTTTTTTTCCAAGATGGCAGCCCTAGAACTACACCCTTCACTAGAAATGAAACACTCCAAATAGAACAAATGGACTTTCAACAGGTGCATCTTTTATATCCCATTGGCAGCCAGGCAGCCCACAAATCAGCTGTTGGGAGGAATGCAACTTGCAAATAAAAATGGGCACCTCCTCTCTTGAAATATTCCAGTGATCTGACTGAGAAGCTGCGACCTTTTCGCTGTAGATTTCATACACTGCCCAGATTGTTAAATGAACCTGTCCCCCCTCTCCCATGACTTCTAATGAAAATCCTTGCTTTTTAGCAGAAACTGAGAGTCTAAATTCCTCTTTGCTACAACTCTATTGAAATCACTAGTTATGCCAGGGAGGATTTTAGTTTAATATGCCCATTAGTAAGATCCTAAGGGGTAGAATTTCATTTTCTTAGACTTTATTCATCATTTATTTTCTCAATGTCAGACAAATCCCTGTATAATTATTATCTCCCAGATCTTGTGCATTTAAACGCTTTTAAGAATGAAGTAGCAAAAACACAGTAGAATACATCAGATTTTAAATTTTGCATGTACATAGATTTGTAGTTTCTGATAAGGAATAAACTGTATGAATGCTGTAGACCTTCATGTCATTTGTAATTCAATTTGTACTTGTAATTCTCATTGTGTATTTGCTGTGCTTTAGGGAATAAAAGAGGAACTCTCTGATAGATAGTTTAAAACTCCACATTTTAAAACAATAGCTGTGTTTCCACCAGTGACTTTGAGGTACAGTATACAATGGGCTTGTTTCAAGAAGTCTTCCATTGATTTCAAAAGTGTACGTGTCAGATTATGATGTATGGATGTGGGCGTGACATCGGGGCTCCATTGATGTCAATGGTAAAATTCCCATTGACTTTGATGGGATCAGGATTTCATTCTATATGTTTGTCTTTTTAAGGCGATGCTTTTAATTCAGTTGCTCTATATTTTCTCTGCCATTATGCATATAGGTTCTCACCATTTTTCTAACAAAATACATGAACACAGGGCCTGATTCTCATTGCATGCACACTTGTGTAAATCAGGAATAACTCCAGCAAAAGCAATAGTATTCAACTAGATATCCACCCACGTAAGTTTGTGTCTTCCCTGTAAAAACAGAGTGTGTTCTTAAAGTGGGGTATCTAGCTCAGGGTATGTCTACACTACAAAGTTTTTTCAGAAAAATGGCCATTTTAAAAAAAAATTCAATTATGTCCATACTGCAATCACGTTCTTTCGAAATAAAATCGAAAGAACTGAGGGGTTTTTCTGGCATTGGTAATCCTCTTTCTACCAGGAAGAAACCTTTTTCTGAAAGAGCTCTTTCGGAAAAAAGGCGTGTGTGGACAGGGAAGAGGGAGTTCTTACACAAGAAGAAGAAAAAGCACAGGTGCCCTGCTGGCCACTCCATCCATAGTAATCATAGTTTAAATACGAGATAGTATCCACGCTGAATGGATGCTATCTTTCGAAAAAGCAGATCTCTTTTTTTATGCGCTTTGGCAGTGTGGATGCGCTCTTTCAGAAGAAGTTTTCTCGGAAGATCTCTTCCAAAAAAGCTTCCAAAAGAAGCCTGCAGTCTAGACTTAGCTTCAGTTTGAAACCACAGTGGTCACATGGCAACTTGACTTTTAACTCTTAGTAATTTGAGCTTAATTCCAGGTGTGACTGCTCTCTAAGGCAACTGCTTTCTAAGGCTTCCCACCACCTTGTCCTGCTGAGGCAGATCCTCTGGTCTCCCCCAAGACAAGACACAGAGTGGCATTACCACCCCCCTGCAGAGTTACACAGACACTGAACTGGTTCAGCTCTAGGGCTCGGCTGTAAGGGTTCAGCCCCCAGGAAACCACCACTCCAAAAGGGACCAAAATCCCAAATAAATCCATCCTGCTGTGTAAAAGTTTTACACAGAGAAAGTTTGTACGGTCTACCCACTTTATCAATGAAAAAGAGAGATGCACAGGGGTCTCTCCCCACAGGTAACACTGGGCTTGATAATAAACAAAAGTGTTTTTATTCAGTATAAAAAGTAGGATTTAAGTAGTTGCAAGTAAAAACAGTCAGACCAAAGTAAGTTACTAAATTAAAATGAACAAAAAACACTTAGCTAGTTCTAATCCACTAAAACTTGCTACATGTAAATTCTTACCCTAAACAGCTGTTCTTGTCACAGGTAAAAAGCTTCAAGTCAAAGTTTATCTTTACTCTGGCCTGTGTCTACAGCTTCTTCCAAGTTCTTTCTTTTCAAGTATGCTGTTAGAGTGGGCCTGGTAGTTTCAAAGACCAGCCGGAGACAAAGGATTGATGGCTTCCCATTGCTTAGATAGACTTTCACCCAGGGTGGGAATCCTTTGTTCAGCACCCTATCTCTCCAGATTCTTTTTCAAGGAATCTCCCTGTGGATGCGCCACTCTCCCTGTGGGTGCTCCACTGTAGGTCTCTTGGCGCCCCTGCGCTTATAATTAGAACTTTGTAGCAGCAGTACCCTGGATGCTGACATGCGTGCATGGTGCCACTTGTGTCCTAGTGAGCGTGCTGACAAGTTGGCATCATCAATTGTCCCTCAGTTCCTTTTCAACCGCCTTAGGTTTGGTTGGAACCCATTAGTCCTCTGGTTCTTCATTGCAGATAAAATTTGTATTAGTGTAGTTCTTCTAGTTAGAGTTTTTCCTTTAGTTAATTCAGGTGCCTTTCCTTCCTTCCCTTCCTTTTTTTAAAAATGAAACAAAACAGACACAAAAAATCAATTTTTCTTTTCTTTCCTTTCCTTATTCCCCCTTCCCAGTTAGTTGGGTAGTAAAGCCAGGCTTCCGAGAGTTCAAGATATGCCTTACTTGCAGACTGTCTCTCCCCATATCAGATGGACATGCCCAATGTATTCATTGTCTGGGGCAGGATCACTCCCCACAGAAATGCCATCATTGTGAAAAGCTTTCCTTCAGGCCCCTAAAGGCCAGGAATCTGCAACTCAAGCTCCTAATGATGGAGAAGACAGTAATACCAACATCAGAACCGATATCACAAGCCTTTCCGCCCCTAACGTCTTCCCCCAGCAGTTTTGGACCAGGAGACAATGGTACCACAGGAGCCTATAGCTAAGAAGACTTCAGAGAGGAAGCATACATCTTCTTACACCACATAAAGGCCTACACAAAAGGTATTCCCTCAACAGAAGCCATCCTTGGCATTGACGACACAGGCTTCAGGGGATAAGCAGGTTCCGGGCTCATCCAGTCTGGATAAGTCCCGAGGAGTGGTGCCAACCTAGGAAACATGCCCTGAGGTCTCAGTATCAAAACCAAAAAAGACCGCCTCTACACCATCGATACCGATATCATCGCACCAAAACAATCAGCACTGAAACTGGCACAGCACACCGGGTCCATCGGTGCAAGGCCACTCAGATCCATCGGTGCAGACCCCATCTAAGATGGTACCGGGGCTGTGTACCAAGACTTTTCACGGCAACCATGACTAGACCAGATGATGTGTCTGTACCAATGCCACAGCATACCCAGATAACTGCTCTATTGGTACCCTTATTTCTGCCATCACTCCCATTGACCACATAAGAAGAGCTTCTGGTCACGTCGGTACCAAGTGCCCTCTTCTTCAGCACCGATGCCACTCCTATCCTTGAGGGACCCAGCAGGCTTGTGACCCCTTCCAGCTCAGCCCCACCCTTTTCTAGTGAGGATGAAGACAACAAGGAAATCTCTTTCTCTCTTTGCCACTCTTTACCCAAACCTGCCTCGGAACAGCAACAGCAGCAGCAACAGAGCCAAGAGCAGATGTGGCAGCCCGTTCCCTGGTTTCCACCCCTACATTTTCCCCAGTTGTGTCAAGGATGGGATTCTTGGGCCCCTTTCAGAGCCCAAATGGCAACATCTCAGGCTGCTCCACAGCACAAACCACAACCAGTGGCTCCAAAATCTCCGGTATTGATGAGGTCTGACACCACCCAGGAGGATATAGGATATCTGGAGGAGACTCAAGAGGAGGACATTCTCCCCACCTGCCATTTGTCCTCCTCTTCGCCCGATGAGTCAATAATGCCCTTGCCACCGACATCTGGGAATGACTTCAGGTCCTTCCAGAACCTATAGAAAGGGGTTGCAGATTCGCTGGATATCTTCCTAATGGAAGTTCCTGAATTCCAGCATAAACTTACTGACATTCTTCATGCCTCAGCCTCATCTAAGATACCCCTCCCAATAAACAAGGCCATCCTGGACCCAGCCAAAATCATCTCGCAGACTCCAGCCTCCATTTCTCCAACATCCAAAAGGGCTGACAAGAACTATTACGTACCAGCCAGAGGGGTAGAGTTCCTGTTTACTCATCCAGCTCCTAACTCCCTTGTGGTCAAAGTGGTTTGCACCAGTGGCAAACAGACCCACTTCAAGTTGACACCCTACGACAAGGACTGAAAGAGGTTGGATATTTTGGGATGCAAAGCTTATTCATCTGTATTCCTGCAATTTAGGAATACTAATGATTCGGCCCTCTTATCGAAGTACACTTATACCTCTTTGACAAAATGAACATTTTTATTGAACGCCTCCCAGAGGAACACATGGCACCATTTAAGTCCAATCTGGAGAAAGGACCACTCATAGCCAAGACAGTGTTGCAAGCCTCCCTGGATTTGGCTGGCACAGTATCCCGTTCCTTGGCATCATCCATTGTCATGCATAGGGCCTCTTGGTTGCACCTCTCAGGGTTTCCTAGGAAGATGCAAAATACAGTTGAGGATCTTCCCTTTGAGGATCAAAAACAATTTTCTACATTGATGGATGCATCTCTTCACACACTCATAGATTCTAAGGCTACACTACAGACCTTGGGCATGTATGTCCCTCAGCCTAAAAAGCAGCAGAACCACCTCTATACGCTTCATGATAGATTGTCTTTGTACACCTCCCAACAGAGAGGCTACAACTTAAGGTGGTGTCAGAGACAGCAGAAGAGGAGACAGCCTCAGGACCAGTCTATTGCATCCCAGCCTGCAAACTCTAGATAGGCATTTTGAGAAATTGGTAAAGGGTTAAATATCAACTCCTATTGGGAGTCATCATCAATATAGTCTGCACCTTTTCCATCAAGCCCGGTCTCATATAATTTCAGACAGATGGGCATTGGACATAATCTCCAGGGGTTATACTATCCCTTTCCTCTTCTTCCCTTCAGTATAACCCCCTTCCGCATCCCTCTTCAGGAACCCCTCTCATGAGACTCTCCTACAAGCACAGATAGACAAGCTTCTCACAATGAGGGCAATAGAACCACTGCCACCTCCACACAGGGGAAAGGCATTTCATTCCCAATACTTCCTGACTCCAAAAAAAAAATCAGGAGGCTGGACACTCATCTTGGACCCACACAGACTGAACAAATACCTAAAGAAACAACACTTCACTATGGTAATGCTGGCAAAGATAATCCTGTCTTTGGAAAAAGGAAACTGGATGTTGTTCCTTGACCTACCAGCTGCCTTTTTTCACATTCAATTCGCCTACCACACAGGAAGTGTCTCAGATTCACCCTAAAAGACTGTCACTGACAATACCATGTCCTTCCTTTCAGACTCCCCTCAGCCCCAAGGGCATTTCAAAGGTCCTTGTGGTAGCTATAGCTCACTTACAAAGATCAGGAGTGATAATCTACCCATATCTAGATGACTGCCTTATAGTAACTCCCACCGCCCAGCTAGCAATGCAGTCCACAGCAAGAACTATCAGCTCGTTCAACACTCTGGGCCTGAAAATAAATACACACAAGTCTCACCTGACTCCTACTCAGGAGCTGGAATTCACAGGTGCAATACTGGATTGCATCTGAGCACAAGCCAGACTTCCACTTCAACTTTTCTAGTTCCTAGCTCTATTGGCTCAAACAATGATCAACAGCTGCACAGTGTTCACCAGACAGTGCCTTCAGTTGCTCAGCCGCATGTCAGGACAATGTCCCATATGCCCAGTTACACATGCATTGCCTTTAGGCATGGCTCTGTTCCGGCCACACAAGCACCATCGTCACGAGATCCTGAGCCCTCCAAAAAGGGTAAAAGAATCCCTACAGGGTGGTTGCAGCCCAACAGCCTTTGCAAGGGAGTGCCATTCCAGTGAAAACCCTCTTCTATCACAGTAACCATGGACACTTCTCTAGAGGGATGGGGTGCACACCTAGACGAACACAACATTCAGGGAAGATGGTCTCCACCAGAGTTAACACTCCACATCAATATTTTGGAGTTCCAAGCAGTCAAATGAGTGTGTGACCTCTCTCTGATTTGCAATGAATGAGTAAGAATATTGACAGACAACACTGTTTGCATGTTCTATATAAACTGGCAATGAGAGGCCAAGTCTTACCATCTTTGCAAAGAGGCCATGGCTCTGTGGCACTGGTGCATTGAGAACCACGTGTGCACTTTGGCAGTCTACCTCCCAGGGAAGCAAAATGTGACTGCAGACCATCTGAGCCGAAACTGTCTTCAGAAGTACAAATGGGAGATACACCCACAAGTCTTGCATACCATATTCCAGAAATGAGGGTTTCTGGACATAGACTTGCTTGCCATGTTTCACAATGCCAAATGCCCCAAATACTGTTCCAGGGCAGGCCTGAGCAAGAACTGCCCAGGCAATGCCCTGTTGTTTAAGTGGGCGGACAAACTAGCGTATGCTTTTCCGTATCACCTCTATTCAACAAAGTCATTCAGAAAATAAAGCAGGACAGGGCCCAACACATTCAGAGGTTACACCTCAAAGCCTGGCTCCTTCAAGGCTGAGCACATCTAACACTATCTATTCGGAAGAGATCCGTCACTTAATCACTAACAGTTGCGAGCACCGGGAAAACCTATACTAAAAAATGTCAACAATTCATTCTTTGGGCCACTCGCATCTCACGATCACTTCGCTCAGCACCTCTACCAAGAGTGCTAGACTACCTGCTTTCCTTGAAGAAGAGAGCCTCTCAAATTCATCAGTAAAAGTTCACCTGGTGGCAATCTCAAGCGAGCATTCCCAAATAGAGGGGCACACAGCTGTCGCTCATCTGACTAGGAAAAGGTTCTTGAAGGGACTCAACAATGTGCTCCCTACGTTGAGGCAAATCACACCATCCTGGGATCTAAACTTCATTCTTACAACCTTGACTGATTGTGCCTTTGGACTAATGGCGACTTGTTTGCTTTTGCATCTCTCAATGAAAGTCGCTTTCCTCATGGCCATCACCCCAGCAAGAAGAATTAGTGAGCTCACCACACTCATGGCTGGCCCTCCTCTTTTTACAGTATTTTATAAGGACAAAATGGTGCTCAGACCTCACTGGAAATTTCTTCCCAAGGTGGTTTCGCAGTTTCACATCAACAAGCCATTATACTTACCTGTCTTCTGCCAAAATCTCCTCCAGACACCAACGCCCCTCGTCTCCATGCCTTAGATGTCTGTTTCACCCTTGCTTTCTACCCTGAAAGAACAAAGTAATTTAGAAGTTCTCCTAGATTATTTCTGTCCATAGCAGATCACTCCAAAGGTCAAGCCATTTCCAAACAACAACTCTCTAAATGGATAGTTAATTGCATCAAGATGTGTTTCTTGCTCAACTAAGTACCATTCCCCGATCAAGTACGAGTGCATGCCACCAGAGCAGTAGCTACCTCTACAGCCGTCCTGCACAATGTCCCCATCACTGACATTTGTAGGGCTAAAACATGGGCTTTAGTACATACCTTCACAACAGATTACACTGTAGATAGGTATGCCTCTCGACACACTAAATTTGGAGTGGCAATTTTGTCCACTGCTCAGTCTGCAGCTCTAAAGCCCCTCCTTCCAAATTCTCAGGGTACTGCTCCATGGTCACAGGGGACAGTCCATAGGGACACTTCTTGAAGAAGAAAAAAGAGGTTACTCACCTTGTGCAGTAACTGGTGTTCTTTGAGATGGGTGTCCCCGTGGGCTCTTTATGACCCTCCTTCCTCCCCTCTGCTTAGGAGTCATAACATCTCTCTGCGGTAGAAGGAACTGAGGGACGGTTGATAACACAAGTGCATTGGCACGCTTGCTACGGTGCAAGCGGCACCACATATGTGCATTGGCACCAGGGATACTGCTGCTAGAAAGTTCCTATTATAAGCACAGGGATGCCAAGACCCCTACAGTGGAGTGCCCACAGGGACACCCATCTCAAAGAACACCAGTTACTGCACAAGGTGAGTAACCTCTTTTTTCCAGGTTGGCATGGTCACATGTCTTTCAAAGACCAACCACAGTTTGAGTTTACAAACAAGACCATTCACAGATTGTTGGTTTGAGTACCAAGTCATTAAGATCCAGAGCATCAGTAACAACCCTCATTAGCACCTTTACAACTAGAAATAGATCCACACTCCAAATGCCTAGGGAGGTTGTGGAATCTCCAGCACTGAAGATATTTAAGAGCAGGTTAGACAGACACCTGTCAGGGATGATCTAGATGGTGCTTGGTCCTTCTGTGAGGGCAGAAGACTGGACTTGATGACCTCTTTAGGTCCCTTCCAGTTCTAGTATTCTATGATATTTCTAATGTCACATACCAGAATGATACATGTACAAAAATAGGATACACAGTTATATCAGAATGTAACTTTAAAATTGATACATTACACTAACAGTTTTGCATAAAACATCTTTGAGTTCTGCATATTCATATCCATAAGCCAATTTTCATAAAACATGATTTATGGATCCCCTATAGACTTTAACTCAAGCTGCTAACCTGAGTGAAAATCCAGTTGCCATGTCTCCATTGCTATTTTAACCCAAGTTAGCGAAGTGTAAAAAAAAACCCACTTTGATTTTACATTGAAGTTATGCCCTTAGTGAGATCAGAATCAGTCCCATGGTATAATCTGACCCAAATATATAAAGCCAATATGAATAATATTCAGACACAAAACTGGTAGCTGCCAAAATGCCCTATTAGACACGTAGTTGTTTAAATGGTCAGCTTTAGCCATATACAATTAACTGTCTACCCTGCTTTCTAGGCTGTCTAAATGCTGCCATGGGGGATGCCATTAATTGTGGCCTTTGCAACACAAGCATTTTAATGGTGAATCCTTTTTATAGAAAGCTGATTCCCCCTCCCTGCCCTTTTTTTGGTTAATTAGCTTTGGGGTTTTGCATGTCAGGTGTTCTTGATCAGTTGTATGAAAGCAGCACTACCTGGGAGCTGGAGCAGAGAAACAGGCTTCATAAAACATGGGCCCAAAGAAGTTTTTTAAGGGAGCCTGAAGCTAGACTCCAAAACCAAAATATGGGCTCCTCCCTAAATATTAAATACTCAGCAGCTCCCACAGATTTTAAAAATACAGCCATTTATTTAGGAGCTTGGACATGGATTCAGAAGTCTAACTTTAGGCAACCATATTTTAAAATCTTGATTAGACGTTCTACTGCAAATTCTGACACCGATCTACTGACATGATTGCTGAGGGGTTATTTCCCAGTACTATGTTTCAGTTTCCCCAACAGTAAAAGTTGAGTTGACAAAACCCTACTTCTGTAAGGCACTTTGAAATCCTCCAATCAAAGCTTCTGTACAAATGCAAATCATTATTATATATTGCACAGAGAAATGGAGTATGACATAAAAATCCATACATTCCTGAAATATGTAGTTGGACACTGATCCAAAGCCCACTAAAATAAAGAGAGAGACTTTCATCCACTTTAATGGTCTCAATTTGCTTTTCAGATTTCTGCTAGCAGTGAACTGGATATCTGAGAGAGACAAATACAACTGCATTTCAGTCTCAGCCAGACCCATACATCTTTACTAAAATATAACATATAGAGAAAAAATGTGGAGGATCTTTCTTTATTACAGATCACTCCCAAAAGAAGGTCTTGAAGTATGAAACACCAATGTTTGCTTCATTTTCTCTTCCCATAATGATCTGAAAAATAATCAGGTTGTTTCATTAGTCCACAGTCCTGCACTCTTCTTTCCATTTTCCTTTTCTTAAACCTGAGGCTGTAGTAATTAAGTTTCCTTATATTTTGTATTGACATAGTTTGAGGAAAATAAAACGGAAATCAGACCTGCTGTGTGGTGTTTAGTGAAACAGCCTTTTAATTCATTCCACTAATTCTTCTATTAAAAAAAAAAAAAGCTGGCAATGAGAAACATTGTGCTCAAGACATAACAAAAACAATAGAGAAGGGAGAGCAGCCATTTCACACCTCATCAAACTGCCTAACTACAGAATGGACTTGAGCCAGAGACAATTCACAATGCAATTTCTGTAAAGTGGGACAAATGCTCTTCATGTACAGGAGACTCTCCCAATTTGTGATTTCATGTATTCGCGGGATACTCCCATCCCCAAACCCTGCCCCTTCCTGCCACTGCTCTGTCCTTTCCATTGCACCCCATCCCCTGGTCTGGGGGGAACGTGGCCTGGAGGGAGGATCTGTTGCGGGGTGTCGGAGCAATTGGGGGGGAGGGGAGTTACACTCATTGCAGTAGCCAGAAGCTGTGGGGAGCTTGCTATGAGGGGTTTGGGAGCCATGGGGAAACAGAATACTCATTCGTTTCTCCTTGCTCCCAGTATTTGCGGATTTCACTATTTGCAGTGGTGTCAGGAATGCATCCATCGCAAATGGTGAGGTTTTACTGTACACATTATGGAAATTATACTAGTATCGATATGTTGGAATAATTATGCCAGGCTGCCAGCATAGTCCTGTAGTACAGATGCTGCTTGAACTAATATTTGTTGTTATAGGAACTCCACGTTCACCAAGATAGCTATGTCGATGAGAACTCTCTTCTGTGAATATAACTGTGTCTACGCTGTGGGGGAGGGGGTTATGTCAGAATAGCCACATTGTTTAGGGGTGTGATGGTTTCAGACCTCTGACATACATAGCAAAGATGATATCACTTATTATCTACCAGGCTGAAGAGTGTGTCTTATCCACTGAGTGACATTAACTTCCTTTAAATGGACCAGATTCTGGCCCAGAACCTGGGCTGTGTCCCAGCTATGTTCAACTCAAATTGGCAGGGTGCGACAAAGATAGCTTGAAGCTACCTTTGATGCCTCCTAATCCTGTGTTTGTGTGGGGCCTGATCTGGGCACCTGTGTGCATGAAAGGCTAAAGTCCTGTGAAAAAGTTGGACAGGAGGCCTAGATCCATAAATTGCTGACATTTATATTAGCTTAAATAATTATCCACGTTTGAATTGCATGTGTATTTAGTAACTCACTTTTGATTAGCCATAAATATAGAAAGCAAAGCTATAACTTGCAACTTGAAAACTTTTTATGTTTCCGATATTGATTATTTCATAATATTTAAAACAATAGGAAAAGGCAACTGGTCAGCCCCACCTAAAAAGATGGGCTAGGATAGGGTAAGGAAAAGGAATTCCATCAAATCTAAATTCCATCAAATCTAAATTCACAATGAAAACATTGTGCCAGTTGGCCTTAGAATGGTTTTCAACCCATTTTCTGAAAGTGGTACACACTTTTGTGTGGCCACTCATTTTATTTCAAGAGATGCTTACTTTGATTTAGCTTAAACCAGTGAAATAAGCCTGGTTTAAACCAAACTAAGGGTGTGTCCACACAGCCTTTGGTACTAATTTAACCAAATCAGTTTCAAAGTTACAACTTGAGTTAAACCAGTGCAACTCTCTCATGTAGACAAAACTGAGAAAGCATAAGCAGTCATTAGCAGTAAGAAGTGGCTTTATGTGCAAGGCTGTTTGTAATACAAAGACAACAGATACAAGCAAGAAAATATTTAATAAAAATGCCCGCTTACTCCCCCCCTCATTTCATCCTGGCAGAATAGAGAGCAAGTATTCATGCTGAGCATCTGCTGGTTGATATGCCTGGCAGATGGCATGCCAGACATACTATCATTCGTTTCCAGTTCTCTACCTTTGGCAATAAGCCAAACAATTATTAGGCTGGATATCCACTCAGTGAGTATCTCTATGTTCAATGTACATGCCCAAAGATCAGCCAAAACTTCCTTACTAGTCTTAGGAATGAGTCACATTCTTTGCCTGTGCATGGGCACTTTAAAGAATTAAATTTTGTAACAAAAATCTGTATTCCCTACATAAATGTACCAGTATGAGACGTAAACTGGCAGATTTCAGTCAGTAAACCTGGAAACTCCCCAAAATTTCCTGTATATACTAGTAAATGATGCACAGCCAGAGTATTCTATCATTGAAATAAACACTTCAAAGGCCCCTAAGATTATTAGTTTCCATTTTGTGTAAGGACCAGTCATCAACACAGATGAGTTATTCATGCAAATGAAGTGTCCAGCATGATATTCTGTAGTGGAATGTATTTTCAGCCCTTCCAATTGAAGAGTGAAGTAGAAAGTGAAGCTCAGGGAACCGTAACATAGGTATGCATGACACGTACAAGCCCAAAGACAGTGGGCCAAATTCTG